CAAGCAAAAAAAATAGATAGTAGGGAACGGACGAGGAGACTAAGAGAAAAAATTAGAACAGGAGAGAGAAAACTAGACAGAAAAATGAAGGAAAAATAGAGCATGGAGAGAAGGAGAAATAGGAACGTTTCAGCGTGAGAGAAGAGGGAGGAGAGACGGAAAAAGAGAGCCATAAACGTGAGAGATCGGCGAGACCGAGGAAGAGTCTGAGAGAGGAGGAAAAAAAGAGAAGGAAAATAGAGTACAGAACGAGAGACTAAAAAAAACGAAGCAAAAATAGAGCACAATAAGAGACACAAGAGAGAGAGACGGAGTGAGAGACAAGAAAGAGGACGAGAGAGAGAAGGAGACATAGAAAGCACCAGTAAAGGAGAAGCAGAACACACAGACGAAGCATGCACGAGGAAGCTCGAGAAAGAAGAAATGCCAAGTTCATCACCATCCTTCTCTTCCTCTACGTCACCATCACTACTATTATCAACCACAAAAAAAAGTAGCTCAGCTTCTGCTACAGTGTGGGCTTCCTAGGCATCACTTGGGCCTTCGGTGGCATGATCTTCATCCTCGTTTACTGCACCGCCAATATCACTGGTGGTCACATCAATCCTGTAGTTACATTCGGGTTGTTCTTGGCTAGGAAGGTGACGTTCATCCAAGCTTTAGTGTATATGGTGGATCTGTGCTTGGGAGCTATTTGTGGTACTGGACTGGTCAAGGCTCGATGGTGGCCTAGTTGTGGACATATTGCTTTAGAAGAATTAGTGCAGAGGGGTCATGGTTTTGGTTTTGTCAACAACAATATGGATGGAAAATTACCTACAAATAAGAAGAAGATGGAGTAAGGTGCAAGTGGATCCTACGTCTAGCTAGGGAGTATAGAAATGGGTGTTCAACATATCAACAAAGAGCATTGATTCTCATCCTGATCTCCGAAGGTTGCAGTCTGAATTGATGGTAAGATTTCTATCTTATATCTCTTTAATTACAAAACTTGCTAGTTGTAATTTACTCCATAAACTCTTGAGTATATTTTGTTTCAAATATCATCAATCAATATGTTTATAAGTTAGTTCTTTTAAATGCTAAAGCTACTGGTTGTTTTTATTATCTTCTTATTTATTTGCATGCTCATTATGTCACCATTGGAAAGGAGTTCCATTTTTCTTTTTGGATGAATTTTGAATTTTGTAATTGAGATCCAAAAAATAATAGAGTGTATACTTGTTTGTTACTTATTTGTCGTGTGAAATTTTAAGAATTTCACAGACATTTAAAATGATCTTATACCGTGTAAATCAATAAGATTTTGCAGGTATAAAAATCTGACTTGTATCTATATGGACTTCAAAGGCTCATTATTAAAATTAATTCTCTCTTTATAATAAATATTTAAGTCTCATGTGAGATTTTAAGAATATTCGTAGAGACTTAAATTAATCACATTATCATGTAGGATAATAAATCCTCGCAGAAATTATGATTCACAATTTATATGGTAAATAAATAAACAAATTTTGTGAATAAAATAAAAAAACATTTTTATAATTTTTAATTGATTAAATTAATGAATTTAAATTATAATTATATTTTCTAATTAAATCTTTTGGTCATGTGAGATTTTTGAAACTCCGTAAACTTTAAGATAATTGTACTGCCGTGTTAGTCGATAAGGCTTCGCAGGTATAACGATTAAGATTTTTATATTAAAAAATATGTATTATATAATTACGCATTAAAATATGTTTAAAGTGAATATTCTTTAATCCTTTTATCGTGTGAGACTTTGAATCTCTGTAGATATTCAGAATAATCTCGTGTCGTGTAAATCAATAAGATTTTGCAGATATGAGAGCAAAATTTATATATTAAAATTAACTCTCCTTTTATAATCCAAATTAATAATTTATTTAAGTCTCATGTGAGATTTCAAGAATCTTTGTAGGGACTTAAATTAATCACACTATCGTGTAGAATAATAAGTCTTCACAGATATAGTGATTTTTAATCTTTATAATAAATAAATAATTTTTGTAAATAATTATATAATACACAATTTAGAAAATTAATTAACCAAATTAATGCATTTAAATTATAACCATATTCACCAATTATATCTTTTAGTCATGTGAGATTTTTGAATTTACGTAGACTTCTAAAACAATCGTATTATCGTATGAGTTAATAAGACTTTGCAGATATAATGATTAAGTTTTTAAAATATATATATATATATATAATTTATATATTAAATTAATTAAATTAAAGACGTGTTTAAATTTAATTCCTTTATCGTGTGAGATTTTAGAATCTCCGCAGATATTTAGGATAATCATATTATTGTATAAGTCAATAAGGCTTTGTAGGTATATTGATTAAAATTCTTCAAAACACATATCTACATGTTAAAAATTATTATTATTAACACTTAAAAATGTACATAAGAATATTAATAAATAAATTAAATTGGCAAACTCTTTTATCGTGTAAGATTTCAAAATCTCCACAGATATTTAGAGCAATTGCATTATCGTAAAGGTTCTGTAGGTACTGCGATTAAAATTCTCAATCATAAAACATAAAGAATAATTTTAAACCCTTTCCTTTCTTTATTCCAAAAATTTAAAAATAGAGAAAATAATTAAAATTAAATTACCTTTTGCAATTTAAAACACATATATCAAAATTTCAGAAAATATTTTATTTGCAAAATGGTGAATTATTTTTAATTAATTTTTTTTAAAAAATATTTTCACCAACAAACTTTTATGCCCAAACTACGTGGACTTTGATCCCCATCACAGGATATGTAGACCTCAAAGTCAGATTCTGAGTCAAGTCTATCCTCCCTTGTAAATAAATAAACATTTCTCACCTAATTTCTATCATTTTTATATCAAACACATGAATATAAAAGCGATAATTAAAATAATTATAAAACCATATTAATAGAGCACAACAAACTTCAAGTAACCGTTCTAACGAATGGATGTTGTAGGGTGCCTAACACCTTCCCCACACTCAACTGACTCCCGAACCTATTCTCTGATTTTGTAGACCACCCTTATCCTCCATTAATCAGTTTTTCGAGATTTACTTCAAAATCTTGGTGGCAACTCCTCGTTCGATCCAGTTCCTATCGCGAAGGCCAGGACCTCCGCTTGTGTGCCGTCCGTGTTGCATTTTTTCAAGTGTGATAACTAGTTTATCACCAACAAAAATTGATTTAATTGATAAGAATATGACCCATAATCTATAAAGTTATTGGATCAAATCTTGCTGCCAATGCGAGGGCTTTGTTGATAAATAATTTATGAGTACATCTGTAAGCGCTTATGATAAGTGATTATTTTATAATTAAATAGGTATAGATTTTGGTTTAGATTTGATTATATTTATTAATATTTTATATCTATTTAATTAATATTTATATATTTTCCTTTTATCACTTAATTATAAGATAGAAAGGGATTTTAATACAAATGTACTCATATCTTTTTAGTTTTATATTTTGTAAAGAAAAAGAATAAGCTAAATAGAAAAAATATATATATATACATACATATATATATATATATATATAAAATATAAAGGAAGGAAACGTGGGAAGCTGTCATAAGGGTGTGTGTATATATATACATATATATATATATAATATAAAGGAAGGAAACGTGGGAAGCTGTCATAAGGGTATATATATATATATATATATATATATATAATATAAAGGAAGGAAACGTGGGAAGCTATTGTCATAAGGGTGTATATATATATATATATATATATATGGAGACTAAATATTCTAGGAAGATGACATACAAGACACGATTTTCAAAAGAAGAAAACAGGCATAGCAAAAGATACAAGAAAAAAAAAAAGAAGCCTCTACTTTAACTATAAATATTTTCTTCATTAAGAGAAAAGTCATCCAATCACTTATCTGAATACTTCAAAAACTTTTTCTGAGATATTTAGAGCTCGTAGAAGCATTTTGAAGGCTGAAAGCGAGATTGTTGAAGAGTTCTATAAATTATAATTATTTATTTTCTATTTCTTAATTTTCTCTGTGATCATTTTTTAAGATTGAGAATTTTAAAATGGTATTATTTGATTTTATTATGTGTTTTTAAATTACTCAGTTGAGGTAGGGATGTAGTTCAATTGGGGAGCTAATTTTTTATTTTCTTTGTTTTGACTCTTTGCATTTATATTTATGAATATTTTTGCCTTTTCCAATTATATTTATTTCTCTTATCTTTCATATTAATTTAATGATTGGTCACCATTTAATCAAATCTATGGATAATCTTGATGGACTAGCAGGTGAAGAGAGAACCTAAATCTAGAGTAATAAATATAAATAACTAGGCTAGAGATAGTTCTAAAAATTTGTGGTGACTTGAACTATAACTATACAGTTTAATTAGTTACTTAGGTATCTTAGAAACGAATTCAATGTTAATTAAAAAAGAAATTAATAATTCGGGAGAATATTAGGATGCTTTAGGAATAGTTGTCACTATAATTGATCAAAATCAACTCAAAGAGTAGAAACTAGCAACTTATAAGGTGAATCTTAAACCCCAACACTTTAAGTGATTGTATTTTCATCATCATTATTTTCTTGATTTATTTTTATTCTTTATATTTTTATTAAAATTATTTATTTTATTTATTTTTCTTAAACTATTAATTATTTAAATTAATAAAAGTATAATTTTTTTATAGGTTCGATACCTAAAATACTCTGAATAATTTATTATTCTAATCTCATATATTTGTAAGAGCGATCAGCTTATTAAGTCTAGAAGTGTGCCCTAACCTTGGGTAGTCTGAAACTCTACTCACAATAACTAGTTTATCTTATTTCTTATAAACAAATTCAAAAGGACTTTTATATATATAGGATTAAGGAGAGGAGAGAGTATGGTCCTTGCACGCTTTTCTTTTGCCTTGAAAAAAGTACAATTGGATGTCGTGCAAAGAGGGAATTCTTGAGACTCTTGAGGGAGGAAGTAGGATTTATTCATTGGCTATTCGTTGTCATTCCAACAATGAAATGTTAAAACTTCATGATTCCATTTCACCGGCTTTACAACAAAAGAACAACTATGGCCAAAGCACGTATAACAGAACACAGCATGATGCTTAATCTATTTCAAGTTTTTTGAGTCATGTACGATAGGAACAATGCTCCTCCTATTCAGGTGTCTCATAATTTCAATCAAAAACCTAGTAACATATTCTCCTGTTGACCATGATCGTTCTCAAACAAATCCTTCTGCAAAACCCAGTTCTCAATCATTGCTTGAGAGTTCACAGATTGATCAGTGGGCAAAAGATGGCCAGCTCCTAAAACCACAACATTTGTGAGACTCTGCCATTTTTGCACATATCCAGCAATCTCTCCATTCACCTTCCATATCTTCCTATCTGCATTCAAATACTTGTCAATCCCTTCCCATTTCATTCTCTTCACCCATGCTTCTACTTGAACCACACCATCTCTCAGATCATACTGGCCTTGGTACATAAGCACTCTGGTTTTTGTCAACAAGTATTCCACCATGTACTTCACACTCTTCATCACATCCTCTTTCAATACAGCTCCTACATTATTACTACATCCTTCAAAAACAAGAGTCTCACTCACCCCCAATTCCTTCTTCACCTCACTGGATTTCAAGAACTCAGTGACCAGATCATCTTCGTATGGAGCTTTCCTTGTGTAGTCATACAAAGTAGCCAATCCTGTCATGTTCTGCAGCAACCTCAAAGCACTGCTTCTTGCATCTGTAGCCGCACTCCAATTCCCTAGTATGGTCAATCTGATGGCTTCCAATTGAGCTTTCTCCAACTCATTCTTCTGCCTCTCGTTGATCAATCCCAGGTAGTAAGCATTCACAGCATGAGTAGCAACTTGTACTATAGGATGTGTTAACCCATCCCCGATCGCCACACCTACCAAATTCACCTTCTGTGAAGCATTCAATCGAGAATTCTTGTGTAATATGTAATACCCAATTGCAGGAACGTACTTCCCAGCGTAGCTTTCGCCGGTTATATAAATTGGGCGATACTTGAAAGCAGGGTCAAGTTGAATGAACTTGGTTATAGCAACGAAGAGGTGTTTGGCTACAGATTTCTGGTCTCTGGGGATTTCATCAGGATTGGAGGCGACACTGAATCCAGTTCCGATCGGGCTATCGAGGAAAAGGAGGCCGAAGATTCTGTTCCAAGAGCCAGGATTGGGGGCAAGATTTAGGGATTTGGTGACTCGCCATGGTCCGAGCTCGTAGAAGTTGCCGATCATGGAGGAACATCCAGGGCCGCCTTGGAGCCAGATAACAAGTGGGGTTTGGGAGAGAGGTGAAGTGAGGTTCTGGGCTTCGTAGAAAGCGTAGAAAATGGCGGATTTGGAGGTTTCGTTAACAGTGAGATAGCCAGATTTTGTGGGCAAGGCTTGTTTTGGGAAGGAAGAGGTTGAATTTGAAGTTGCAGAGACGTTGAGTGAGAAGAAGAAGAAGAAGAAGAAGAAGAAGAAGAAGAAGAAGAAGAGTGTGAAAGAGCAGGATGTCGCAGTTGACTCCATTTCTGAGGAGCACAATACTTCTTCGGCTGAAACGCTGAGCTATAATTTGGTGGCGATTAAATTAACGAAGGGCGTGGATAATTGGATTTGACGAGAGTGTCAGAGCGTGTATGAATCCGATGCGGAAAATTTCGTGCTGATGACATGAGAATTTGCGCATGCGGACACGTGATGACGATGTCTTTGATCATTATTTTATTGAGTATTCACATGAGGTCTGGCCCACGATAAAATCTGGGAATTTCATAACGCATTTCTTCTTAGACTTTCTTTGGTGGGAGAATTTTAAATGAGAATGAAAGATATGGCTTAATTATTAATTTATTTTAAAAAAATTTAAAATTTTAGTTTAATTTATCATTAATTATTAATTTACTAACTTTATTTATTAATTTATTAATATCAATTATAAATTATAAAACTTATAAGTAATTTATAATTGATATTAGTAAATTATAAAACTTATCGATAATTTACAACTGATGTTAGTAAATTAACAAGTAAAGTTAGTAATTTAACAGCTAATATTGCTGCTTATGATTAAACAACTTATGTGAAGTCTTATATAAGCATTGATATGTCAACTCATGTAACTTGTGACTTATATTAGTAAATTAATAAGTTAAGTAAGAAAATTAATAATTAATAATTCTGCATAACAATTAAAGGGTAATTTAATTTTTTTTATAGTTGAAATTATTTTTAGTTTTATCCTCCTGGATTGGATTGAAGTTTTAAATTTTTTTGAGACCCATTGATAATTAAGTCACTTCTCTAGTTCATATTTGAAAATTTCCCTTCTTTAGTTCATATGTTTAATTTGTTGTTATTTATTATTTATTAATTGTTATCAGAATAAGAAAGCAAGTTCGCTCTTAAATTATAGATGCAGAGTGCCTGGGACCTTGAACTTATTTTTAATATAATGTTTTTCCTTCAATTGAAAATGGTACAATCTAATCCTACTATTAATAAAAGTTAATTTTGACCATTAGTTAAATAAAAAATGATAAAAAGAGATCTCAAAAATTACATAAAAGAAAAAAAATACAATAAAAGATCTAAAAATTACATAAACAAACCCATAAAATTATATAAAAAGACTAAAAAAATTTTATTGGTTTTTTCTTGTAAATTACATAAACTTTTATTAATGATAAAAGCTAAATTGCACTATTTTTAAAAGTTAAAAAAATATTATATAAAAAATAAGTTTAAAATCTTAGACGTTCCTGAATCTATAGTTTAGGAGTCTATTTGCTATTTTATCCTTATTATTAATGTGATATTATTTATAAAATTATACATGTATTTTACATATTATATAATATATAAAGACTAATTTAACCTAAATGAGATTCTGGGCCTTAAAAATATTAAAAAAATTATTTTTTTTAAATAAATGGGGTAAAACACCCAAAAAATTCTAGAGTAAATCTTCACATCTGTAAGGTATGGAACACCCAAGTCATACCTATGTAAGGTACATATGATTTCTAATTAACCTATTGATTTGCAGGGGAATCAAGACCCACAAAATTTTAGAAAGGAATATTCTCTTATATCTTTTTTATAGGTCATTTCTATCATATAAAGCTGATAATATGAGTTGAGTAGTGTTCACCAAAAGTTACATTTTGGGGTGGTAAAAAATATAGCTTGTTTAGATGTGGGCCAAAATGCACAACTTAAACTCACAACGGGTTAACCTATAGATTAGTGTATTAGCTCGTATTTTTTTCTCATTTTAATACTTCTTGATAAGCAAACACTATATGTAACATCCTAAAACTTTAAATCTAAAAAAATAAATTAATTAAGGGATAAATTAGTTAAAAATATGATTAATTTATTTAATTATATTTTTGGGTGGCTAATTGGATTTTTGGGTCATATTTGGCTCTAAATTGAGATAGGATGAAAGTCAGATCAAGTCGGGAGGCATCGGGGGGAGCAAAATCAAGTTGTTGCTCGCTGCACCGTGAGTCACGGCTTACGTGACGTGCACTGCAGCGCACGGTACATCAGGCAACTTAAAATTTTGGGAATCAGCAAAAAAATTAGATTTTGTGGTGAGAAACCTAGAGTACGAAGGGGGCAACTTTGGACACTGCTAGGGCATCAATTGGAAAGGATTTTAAAGATCATTTAAGTCTTCAAACTCTTGGGTAAGATTCCTATCCTTCTTCTTTACCTTTTCATCTCATTTTTCATGGGATTTGAAAGAGTGAGAATTTGGCCTGATGGGATTAAGCCATGAGTTAATGTTTTGAAGGTTTCTATTGACTCTAAAGATTTAATTTAGGTTTATTGATCTTGAATATGTGGTAATATGAAGTTATTTTCTTGTTTGGTAAATTTTGGATCAAGCCCCAACTTGATTATAGGGTGTTGAAGTGTGATAAATTGAGATATTGAGTTTTATATTGTGATAGAGTTAGAAAGAGACTTGAAGGGATGAAATGAACAAATTCTAATCTTGACAAGTCTATTTGTTGAGAATTTGAGTGAGAAGTGGGAGAATTGGGAGGTTATTATTAGCTAATGGTGCTTGTGTTAATTAAAAATTAAGATATACTACTTGTTAATGTAGATTGTGGTGTGGGAAGACTTACCTTGACACAGGAAGAGAATTAGTACCACGGGTAACCCTTTTAGTAACAAAAGGGTTGAGGTAACTAGATAATTTGCCTTATTTATTACCTTGGATAAGTTATTCTCAAGTGCTTTTATATGATTTGTTGAGTATACGTATAAATTCTTTAAAGGTTAACTATTTTAAAAAAAGTGGAGTATTGGTTTGTAAAATTCTATATTTTTGAAGTAAATGAAAAGATTTTGTTATACTTGTTTGAAAAGTTGTTTATGTATGGTCAAGTGGAGATATGTAGTAAAATATCGCATATTAGAGGGTGGGAGGTCACCCTAGTGAAGATAGTGAAGATTTAAATCCATATGGCATTACTAGCACTTCGGGACGCCAGGTGCAGCATTTACTCTCCTAAGTGCCCGAAAATGGGTGCGGTGTTGGAGGCTTACTCTCCTTAGTACCCAAAAGGGTGCGGAGTTGGAGACTATGCTCCTTAGCATTCGTAGGATGCGGTGTTGGAGTAACGACACCCCAATTACTTGTAATAGGGGAAAACAGTAGTCCAGAAGTGGTTTAGGACACTTTGGCCAGGTAGTCCTACCATGAATGGTGAGCTTGGGGACCATACATGTGGTTTAGTTCTGTGAAATAGCCTACTGGTTTGGTCGGGAGTATTGGAGGACCGGATGGTTAGGGATCATGCATGCAAATTTATGGTGATATTATATAATGTGATTATGTCACTTATTTTAATGCTTGTTTATAATTTGGCTTGTTAATTAATAATGTAGATTATCTTAGTGACTGAAATTTTTATCTCACCCCGTGGATTATCATTTTATAGGTGCTACCAGTGAGACTGAGCCAGGGAGAGAATCGGGCAGGGGCTAGCATATCTGCTACACTCTTAGTAAAGCCCGATTTTGGTTTGAGTGGTATAAATAAATTTGTTATATGATATTATATGTTGCCAACTAGGAATGCATATTATTTTAATTGGTTGCACTTGTTTCATACTATGTTGTGGCGTATTTTAGTCCAATATTATATATGAGGTGAATATGTGGTAATTTTTATGGTGATGGGCTAAAATACTAATACAAGTGTAAGGAATGTTTTATCTAAGTGGTGATAATGTATTAGTAGTGTATTATATGGCAATAGAGGCTAAATAGTACTTGTAGTGTTAATTGTGCATTTTGGCCATATTGGGTAAAATGGCCATTGAATGGCCAAATTTTATGTTTGGTACGTTTTTGTGTGTTTGATTGGTCATTCAAGTGTATTTTGATCAATTGGACTTGGTTCAAGCCTCACAATGGGTTAATGGTATAAGTTATGAGTTTTGGGTGTTTGGATGGTTGAAATTTTTTTTGAAAAACTGACTTTTGCATCCGAGTGTCTAAAATTCTCATATGGTGTTAGATCGTAACAAAACTTATACCATTAGTTAGCTTATTGAATAAGTTTCGCATGGGCGCTTGAATCACTCCAATCGGACATTGGATGTGAAAATGGCGCGCATTTGAAATTCATCCAGAAAAGCTATCATGACAGCATTACTGTCATGGACAGGTGCGCCGCGACGCATTTGGCGCAAACCGTGGCGCACGATACAGCAAGGAAATTTGTCTTTCTGTGCCATATGCCGCGGCGCACGGACCACGAGCTGCGGCGCATGGACCAAAACACTAAAAAATGATATTTTTGGCCCTGTTTTGAAGTGGTTTGCTTCCCAAAACTTTTCCATGCTTTCAATACCTTTATAAATTATTAAGTTTGAGCTCAAACTATCAATTTAAAGGGTTTTTATGGGATCCCAAATATTCCTCAATTATTTTTAAAAGATTATTAGTTTTAACCCTTTTATATATAATGTAAGATTAGGAGTAAATCCTTGCTCCTAATTATGATTGGTTGTTGTGATTGTGTAGTGAATTTTAATAATGTCAAGGTGGATATTACATTATAGCTCACACATTAGGCCTTAAGGACTGCTAACTTGGGGATTTCAGTGTTTACTTGATCTCCTCCACATAGTAGCATGCATGTGCTATAGTGGTTGAGAATCTAATACTTTTTAGGGTAGTTTAATTATATTTCTTCCTATTCTATCAAAAAATAAATCTTTGAGTTAATATTTTGTAAAAAATTACTACTATAATTTCTATTAAAATATATAATTAAATTTAAACCATTAAAATTTAATCTATTTAATTTAATAAAAAATTGTAACTATTTTTAAAATATTTTATAAAGTAATATTATTTTTTCAAATTTTCATTATAGTTTTAAATTATTTAGATAAAATTCTAACACTTTAATTTTATTTATATATTTTTATGTAAAAATATAGTTAACATTTTATAAAATATTAAATCAGAGATTTGTTGAAAAATTTTGACCTAAACATAATAAAAAAAATTAAAATATTTTATTTACGTATTATTTATTCAGTGATTACAAAGACGTGGGATTGTCATCATCTTTAGCTACTAATAATAGTGTTGGAAGAAAAGCAAGTTCTGTTGTGCCTATATTGTCATCGTCATCTTCTTTTCACGTTTTGGATTGTAATTTAAAGTTTTATTATGTTTGTTTGTGGTGGAATATATATTTATTTTGAATTGTATTGATGTTTTAAATTTGTATCGTACTTTTTAATGATTTAGAATGAATTTTATTGTTATGTGGATAATTATTTTTTAAGGAAAAATGATTTTCTTTGCCACAAAAAATGAAAAGAGGTAAATTTGTAGTTTTTAAAATTGGGAAAAAAATATAAAAAATATGTTTTATTGGGGGGTTGGCAGTGCTGTGGGTTGATGGGCTAGCAATAGCATAAATATAACCCACGAGAATGTGGGTTACATTAGCTTGTAACCCTTGGGTTAGCCTATATTACCAACTTTATTATCAACCTCATTAATATTAATGCAAAAATATAAAAAGAAATATGAATGTATAAAATTTCAAATATGCTCATATATTAAAAATTTAAAAGGTGATGTTATATTATTTTTTTCTTTCATGAAGGATAATTTTAAAAAATATTTTTTAAATGTTAGCTGAAAAGATGCGTCATTACTTATAAATAAGATTAGATAGATCTTTTAGGATGTGTCTTATAAATGAGACCAAAGGGGGTACACTATACTCTATTCTGACCATAATATAAGTAATAGTTAACTAATTCATGATTTATGAACAATGTTAGTTGAAGCATTAAATTCTTAAAAATGTTGACATCTTTACATTTATACCCTCATTAAATACACTATATAAGAGTTTTGATAATAGTAATTAAAATTTCAATACATAATTTTTTCAAAAAGAGTAATATATGAAGTAAGGGTACAATTGAAAAAATAAAAATAAAATTATCTAATGTCTTATATTTTGAATTGGATAAAATTTTTAATATAGTTTGGAGGTAATAAGTTTTATGTTATTGGCTAGAATTGATAGCATTCCCATTCCTTTGATTTATATATCTAATTAACATTTGTATTTATCAAAAATCATTCCTATATTTTAGAAAATAAAATTATAAAGATTAATTTTTTTAAAAAAATAGTTTTTATAATCTCTAAAGATTAAGCATTTTTGTAATTTAAATTATTAGTTCCTAAATTTTAAAATACTTTTAATCTTTATAATTTTATTTTCTAAAATATAGAGACCAATATTTTAAATAATTTAAACTATAAGGACTGAGTTGTATATATTCAAAGATCGGGTTATAACTGAGTCAAAACTATATGATCAAATGATTAAATTTTTCTTTAAAATTATTTTCAAATGACATTTACAAAAAACAAACCAAAAAATTTTATTTTATACTAAATAGTAACCAATCTGTTAAAATCCATATCATTTTTTTTCTTTTTACCCGGTGATACCCTTAACAAAGATTTCAAACAATTCTCAAGTAAAGGCCTCTTAGAGAAATTTCTAATGATTAAGCACAATCTTTTAAACTATCTCAATTGGACATTGAACCTGAGTTGTTGAGTTGCCCAAAAAGAATTGTGATGTTGTGAATGAAGTTGGAAAGAAATTGAACTATAAGAAACTTCCTTTATCTATTCGAATCAGCAAGAAGAAGCTTCAATGGTACAAAAATTTTATAAAAGCAAGCGATTTAATTTTTTGTTTGATCAAAACGATGTTTTCCTGCAATAAAAACCAAAGTCTCAAGTGGAGGCTTAATCATCATAAGATAATTGATCAACGAATTCCACCTGAGAATATTTTTTTAATTTACATCAGTAAAAAAATAATCAACTTTTACTTAAGTGTCAACTAAACAGTTAATGTTTGAGAAATTTGATGGATTGGTCATATTGACAACCCAACCTTATGAGTTTGATTAAAATTATAAATTTGGGTGCGTGAGGCTCAATTTGAGCCAAGCTTTTTCAGGCAAGTTCAAATAAGCTTAATTTTTTTTTGGTGACACAAATAAGCTTAAATTTATAGAAAAGCTTAAATAGTTAAATTTGACCTTAAAATTTTTGAGATTCAAGTTCATTTAGGCCGGCCATAATACTCAAATTGTTGAATTTTTTAATTTTTATTTTAAAAAAAATTTCAATATTTATTTTAAAATTAATTATTTTATTTTATCAAAAAATATAAAATATAGTTTTCGAGATGCTTAAAAAATGTAAAAGACTAATTTTTTTAGAAAACTTATTAGGTCTCAAAGTTTAAAAATAAAGATTAAAATACATTTTAAATATTATTGAGATATTTTATAGATTAAAACTATAATAAAAATATAACAATTTTTAATATTTTTTTAAAAAATATTTATAAGATTGTATTCAAATATATGATCTCTTAGAACAAAATAAACTGAAACTTAAAAAATCAATTAATATTTAATATATTTTTTTAAAAAAAGGTAATTTCTTTTGGGCCCAAATGCTCCTATTTTTTAAGGCTTAAGTTCAATATACTCCAAATATTAAAAAAATAGTATTTTGTTAAGCTCAGCCTTTATTTATTAATTAATTTATTATTTTTGCTGGTTGGTTTGTCAGGTTTAGTTAGTATTACTGGCTCAAAGTTTGATTGGCAACAGTCCCTGACCCATGTTCTTATTTCCCCTTCGCCCTCCATGCGCCTCCAATATTATACATTAGACAAAGGACACATGCCCTTTCTATTATTGTTGTTTTCATGCCAAGTTATCATCAAGTATAATTGCTTGCCATCCCCATAAGCATGCCTGTCCCAACTGACAAACTGATTTGGCTATAGCTGTTTCTCCCGCAAATCCTGCCAATACTTTCTTCACTCCATCTAACATTACCTGCATCTGCATGTACCCTTCTATAACAATAATCTGTATGCATGTATCAAATTTCAACAATCCTTTTTAATTCTACATTATTCAGTCAGGGAATCCGGCCATGCATGTTCATACTTCAGTTTGAGCCAACCCTGAATTACTTTACAAGATTGCAAAAGCCTCCTTCACGATTCAGAAGCAACCCATTTGGCCAGAGAAACACATCTATAAAATGCGGGCCAAATTTGGGCTGCTGCATCATCAACTGTTTCTATCTTCATATCGCATTCATCACATTGAACACGATATGGAGATCGCTAAAGGCAGTTCCTTCTTGATTATCAGTCTGGTGCTTATCTCAAGTTTGATCCAAGCCCAGGCTTATTATTCTCTCTACTGTGGTCACAAAACCAGATGCTCTGGAAAGTACATCAGATGCCCCACTGAATGCCCCAGCAGCGAATCATCTGATCCTCAGGCTAAAGTCTGCTTCATTGACTGTGACAAGCCTGTTTGCAAGGCTGTCTGCAGAAGTAAGCTTAGCTATTCTTTCACTTTCTCCTCTTCATAACTCCTTGTGCAATCTCTCTCTCTCTCTCTCTCTCTCTCTCTCTCTCTTTTTTTTTTTTTTTTTTTACTGATTAATTGCTTGTGTTCGTGTTTTAGAACGAAAACCGAACTGCAACGCACCAGGATCAGGATGCTACGATCCTCGATTCATAGGCGGAGACGGCAGGGTTTTCTACTTCCATGGCAAGAGCAACGAACACTTCGCCTTGGTCTCCGACTCCGACCTTCAGATCAACGCCCGATTCATCGGACACAGACCGGCCGGTCGAGGCCGAGACTACACTTGGATCCAAGCCCTTGGCATCCTCTTCAAGTCACAGACTTTCTCGCTCGAAGCCAGCAAGACTTCACAGTGGAACGACGACGTCGACGATCTTCTCAGGTTCACCTACAACGGCAACGATCTACTCCTGCCGGAAGGCACCCTCTCTAGCTGGAGCTCTCCAGAACACGAGATCAAGGTAGAGAGAGTGGCGAACAAGAACAGCGTGATGGTGACGATTAGGGACGTGGCTGAAATTCTGGTAAACGTGGTGCCAGTGACGAAGGAAGATGACAGGATTCATAACTACCAGTTGCCTTCAGATGACTGCTTTGCTCACTTGGAAGTTCAATTCAGGTTCGTGAAGTTGTCTGCCGCCGTTGAAGGAGTGCTCGGGAAGACATACAGGCCAGATTTTGAGAACCCGGCGAAGCCAGGAGTGGCGATGCCAGTGGTCGGAGGCGAAGACAAGTATAGAACAGCCTCTTTGCTTTCTGCAAGCTGTGAGTCATGCCTAGTCTGGCAGAAACATTCATCGACTGAGAAAGAAGCCGATAATGCAGTGGCAGAGGGTGCCACTCTTGACTGCAGCAAGTTCTCTCATGGTCTTGGAATTGTCTGCAAGAAATGAATATGCAAGTCGTGTGAGTCTCGAAAGCTGGGTTGAAGTGAAATCTCTAATAAATTAATCAATATACAGTACCTGATTCTTTAATGTTTGCTCTAAGCTGATGCTGCTACATCAGTTTGCTATGTTATGTAACTCATGTCCAGTGCATGGGGTAAGATTTAAGTTTATTTGAATAAACTATTTGCGTTTTTATATCACCTTCCGCTTCTCTATGAAGTTTTCAAGAATAAAAAACTAAAATAATGTTTGTTTAATGGTCCATTCGAAATTAAGCATATAAGAGTAGCTTATATAGTTTATTTCTTGCATGGAGCTGGCTTAATGTTTTTTCTAGAAAAAAGTGCCAGCTGTTTGAATTTTGTCATTGAATGATGGTGTTGTGGAAGGTAAATTTAAACGGTTTAAATGCTCTGAATATGATATATGTGAATTTATGTGAAGTTATTTTATAGTATTTTTCATTATTTTATTATTTTTTATAAAATATAAAATATTTTTTCCTTTCTTCCTCTAAAGACTAAAGTTGATGTCTATGAATTTCTGTGAAATTTTTTATTTTTGATATTTTTATTATTTTATTATTTCTTATAAAATATAAATTTTTTCTTTCTTCCTTAAAAATGTAAACTTCACACAAATTTATAAATATCAATTTTAAAAGATTTAAATTCGTTAAATAGTGCTATTGATCATTTTCCATACATGTATGATGTGTGCATGTATATCCTCTTGTATTCAATGGCTTTTCAGCTTGCATTTGTTCTTTTATTAACTGCCGTGAGCTGTTCTATATATTGCGTCTACAAAATTAACTTTTCAAGATGATATTTTCAATTTTATAGTGATCTCTAAATAATATTCCGTCTAGTCGTAATTTTAAGGATACAGTTGAAATGCAGATTGAAATAGTTAAATACAAAAAATAAAAAGGATCCACCTTTGGCAGAACTCACAGGTAACTTCGTGAATCTCGCTTTCCGGATCCAAATTCCTCGGGCCATCAACGGAGTAAATGAGAACCAATTCTCTTGCGATCCTGCTCCTCTCCACTCTCATCTTCTGCTTAAATCACTCCCATGTCACCGCTTCTTCTCTTCTTCCTCCCCAAATCCATCCCCTCTGTTACCAAAACAAGCCCTGTACTTTTCTCTTCATACTCCAATTCTGCCATTTTCTACACTTTCTACGAAGCTCGGAAGTCAGAACCTCACTTCATCTCTCTCCCAAATCCCACTTCTCGTGGCAACTTCTTCGAGCTCGGTCCGTAGCGCGTCACCAAATCCCTAATTCTCGAAGCCAATCGCGGCTCTTGGAACAGAATCGTCGGCCTCCTTTTCCTCGATAACCCGATCGGCACCGCATTCAATGTAGGCTCACACCCTCAAGAAATCCCAAGAGACCATAAATCTGTAGCCAAACAGCTCTTTTATGCCATCACTAAATTCATTCAACTCGACCCTGTTTTCAAGTATCGTCCAATTTATATAACCGGGGAAAGAAACGCAGGAAAGTACGTTCCTGCAACTGGGTATCACGTATTACGAAAGAATTCTTGTTTAAATGTTGCCCAGAGGCTGAATTTGGCAGGTGTGGCGATTGGAGATGGACTGACTGATCCAGTGACACAAGATGCTAATCATGCTAAGATTGCTTATCATATTGGTTTGATCAACGAGGGGCAGTAGAATGAGGTGAAGAAATCTCTATCAGTGGCAATCAGATAGGCCAAAGTGGGGAATTGGAGAGCTGCAAAAATGCCAGAAGCAGTGCTTTGAGCATGTTGCAGAACGTGACTGGTTAGGCTACTTTGTATGACCACACAAAGAGAGCTCCTTATGATGATTATCTGGTCACTGAGTTCTTGAAATCCGATGAGGTGAAGAAGGCACTAGGGGTGAATGAATCTGTCGCGTTTGAAGGCTGCAGTGAAGCTGTTCTAGCCATCTTATACGAGGACTTGATGAAGAGTGTGAAAGTATATGGTGGAGTACTTGATGAAGAGGACCAGGCTGCTTCGGCACCAAGGGCAAAATGATTTGAAGTTAGGGGTGGCTCCAAGTGAGGCGTGGGTGAAGACGATGAAATGGTAAGGGATTGAGAAGTACTTGAATGCAGAAAGAAAGACCTGGAAAGTGAATGGTGAAGTTGCAGAATATGTGCAAAAATGGGGAAGCCTCACCAATGTTGTGGTTTTGGGTGGTGACCATCTTTTGCCTGCTGATCAACCTTTGAACTCTCAAGTAATGATAGAAGATTGGGTTTTAGAGAGGAATCTGTTTGAATATAAGCAACACGGGATGGTTTCTGACATTTAGTTTGAAGCTCTCTGAATCACCAATAGCTTATTATCTGACATGATGTGTAAATACAGTCAAAAGTTTGTAGCGAAACTAGTGAAGCTAGATAAAGAGATTTTTATGTTCATTTCTGGATGTATAGTTAACGAATGAAATCATTGATTACTGACTTACTGTGAGCCTGCAACCATATATACTGAGGAGTTCCCATTAATTTGTTTGGTGAAAGTGAAAGGATGATGGAGATATATGTGAGCTGTTTGTTTAATATTAATTAAGTAATTTTTAGATAGTTTAAAAATTTTGACCCTCTTTATTTAAGATTAAAAAATAAATAATTTGTAAATAGTTTAATGATTTTATAAAAAAAATATTTATTTTATAAAGATTTTATAAAAAAATATTATTTTATTTTTGCTATAATAATAAAAAAGTCATTATTAGTTAGTTATTTTTAAATTTTATAATATTTTTTTGTAAAAATAATTTTTTGTTCAATTATTTTTAAATTTTGTGATATATTTATGCATCACACCTTTTAAATTGTTGTATCTCATCTACCGCATCAAATAGAAGCTACTGAAATTATCTTCTCAAAATAATTAGAAATATTCTTTTTTCAGATTCTAATTATTTTTAAAAATTTAAACAAATATTGTAAAAAGTCACAAAATATTTTTTTTCTAAAATAAGTACTTTTTGAAAAAAACAAGTCCTTTATATAAAAAATATATTTTATAAATATTTTATAAAAAATAAATACTACATTATTTTATGTTTGGTTATGGTAATAAAAAATTAATTATTATTTAATTATTTTTATATCTTGTAATATCTTCCATAATTTTTATTTTATAAAAATAATTTATTATTTAATTATTTAAAATTTTATGATATTGTTGCATCAGATTTTTTTCAGACTTTTCAAAATCATCAAAAATTTATTTTTTTTAGATTTTAATTATTTTTAAAAATTTAAACAAGCATTATTAAAATTCAAAAAACAAACTAGCCCATAATAAACTAGAAAAAAGAAAATGAATCTTATACGTAGGTGTAATGTTGTTGGAGTATTTTCATCTTCAATAAAAATAAGAAATTTAAAACTTGAAAAAATGACAATAAAATTTCTTTGAATTATATAAATGACAATCTAATATCTAAAAATGCTATAATTCTATTGAAGTTTCAAGAAACTTCTGTGTGAATAAATTTGAAGTAAAAAAAACTATTTTACCCTTATTAAAAATAACAAGTAAGAAATCATAATTTGTCAATTATAATTTTTGTTATTGAAAAATAAGTCCAAATCATAATTTTTACTTAAAGAATAATAACTTTTATTTCATAAATAGTAAAAGTTAAACAAGAAATTACAACTTATCAAGTGTAATTTCTGTTATTGAAAAATAAGTTCTCAAAATAACAAACTCTATTTATAATTTTTGTTTAAAGAATAACAATTTTTATTCAAAGAATCATAAAAATTAAACAAGAGATCACAACTTGTTAATAAAGTAAAATAATCTTTTTAATTTAAAATTTATTGATAAAAAGATTTCTAGAGACTTCAATAAAATTATGGCATTTTAATAGATCAAATTATCATTTATATAATTCAGGAGATTTTTATTTTTATTTTCCTAAAAACTTTAAGGATGTTGGTGACAAACATTTATTTTTTTAAAAAAATTGATTTGAAATTTGAACTGGTTTTCATTTGATTAGCTTGTATTCCAGATATTAAAATATACTAGAGTAATTGCGTACATTTTGATAAAAGAATTTCTTTTAATTAACAACTGCTTCTTCATCAGAAACTGGTTTATTGATCAAACCAAATCCATATATATCCTGCCATATATGTGAATAATTCTTTTAAGTTTCAACGGTAGGCATTTTGATTCTTCCAAATGAGCTCTGGGAAATGCATTTAGAACTTCCTCAGATGTATATGTAATATAAAATTAGCACAACTTTCAATTAATGGTACTTGTAAGACTCTTTGAAAATATAATAAAAGAAACTTGACTCTCATATATGCTATATATCTTGCTTTATGAGTAACTAATTTCCTGGTGCCACAAAGTAGAGGACGGATAAATGTAAAAGAATAATGGATGGGATGATCAAAATATTAGAAATTAAATTACTAAAGCATTATTGGATGTTGGATGTTTCATATCAAATAACTCCGGAGGGGTCATGCGCAGTAAACAAACCGATAAAAGAAAAATAAGCAGAAACAGAAAAGTAACACAACAAATTAGGCCTACTATTTCTTCTGCTTCTCCTTCCTCAAACTCCATTCTTTCTGCCTCTTCTTGCTCAAGTCTTGTTCTGGACCTTGATGATGATAATGATGATGGAGATGGGTTCTCCATTGAAATCTGAATGGATTCAAAACCAAGATCACTCAGAAACTAGAAAACTAACAAGGCGAGTTAGAGAGCTGTGAGTGGGTGTCGTTTATATAGAGCAGATTGATGAGTTTGGATGAAAAGTAATACGACACTGTGATAGGGGCATATTTTAGAGATAAATAGATATAGACTTTGGATTGTATTTGATTCGATTTATTAATATATTGTACCTATTTAACTAATTTTCATATATTTTTTCTTATCACTTAATTATAAAATAAATAAGAATTTTTACTATAAAATCTACTCATATTTTTTTTTTGTTTTTATATCAAGCTGGAAAAAAAGAATAATATATCAAGAAAGAAAAAAAGAATAGTAGGAGATAGAGATTTTAAAAGATAATATATATATATATATATATATATCGTGGAGGAGAAAAAGAAGAGATTTCAAATCAAATAAAATATAGAGGAAAATAATATTATGAAATTTTAGAAGGATTATAGAATATTGAGTGCAATATATTATAGGAAA